GAGGCAATTATTTCCTGCGGACCGCCCCCTCCCCTCTGCACAGGGGATATTAATAGGCCACCCCCCTTCCACCCCCCCAGCCCCATCCCTGATTCCTCACGGAGTGGGAGCCCAATGCTCTCGGGGAGGATGGAGCATGGAGATACTGTGTCCAGCCCAGCCATCAGGAATTCCTTAAGGCAGGAGGAGGGGGGATTTTTGCTTCAGAGAATGTCCCCGTGCTGCCAAACCTCTGACTGAGCCTTGGAGCAGGGCAGGATTCACTCAGGTCTCACCGGGGCCATGACTGGGTATTAACCTCCAACCCAGAGCAGAACCCTTGCCATGGCAGGTTTTATCCATGCCCAGGGAGGATGGGATCCCACAGTCTTTTCTAGCTCCTCTCAGCCCACCCCTATGGCATATTAGAGAAATAAAAGGCAGATCTATCAGGTTCAGAGAGGGTGAGCAAGCCCTGAGGTTTTCCAACCAGCTGCTGCTGCTGGAACCAAGAGCTCTCCTGGGAATTTGCTGGCTGGTTCTGACCCAGCTCTGCTCGTGCATCCAACTCTTGGATTTTTCCTGCACACACAAGGCTCTGCATGCTTGGCTGCTCAATGCATTGCTGTGATTAACTAGACGTGAGTCAAGCCTTAATTTGGCCTCTGGGTACTAGATAAACCAGGAGGGGTTTATTTAACCATAAAAGCCAGAAGGACGAGGCCATATCCTGTACCAGTACGTGAGGACCACTCCATGAAGGCAGCTTTTGGATCCCTCTGTGGTTAATGTGTGAGTGCATCCCTCTCTGGGCAGGATCTCCATTTTCCACATGTATGTTCCCAGCAGGAGACAGTGTTTGGAAGAGGATGGCACAACCTTGGCTGCTTTACAAGCAAAATCCCTGCTGAGAGGCTGAGACAGGTCAGAAACCTCCGTATTCAATTAAATCTCTCCTACCCTGAATGCAGAAATCAATACAGTGCTTAGGGCATCCACCAGCTGGCCAGGAATCTTCGTGGGCTCCAGGAGATGGGAAGGGGCTGGTTTGGGATGGGTTGGTTTGCTGTCTCCACAGACCCATCACTGTTGTCTGGTGCATGCTGAGCCTATTGCTCACTGCTGGTTTTGATCCTGCCAGACTTGGGGTGAGGAGATCCTGCCTGGGGAGGAGGTGAGGATGGAATCCCACCTCAGCAGAGGGAGAGGAACCTGGTTTGCAGAGTGGCTCAGGGTGTGAGAACATGCAGGATAGACCCAAGAGCACTGAGCTGCTTTAAAGCTGAGCAGCAACCAGAATGCAGCTAAGTTTTGGCTCCTTTTTGGGCAGCAGAGGTGGAGGAGCTGTTAAGGTTCTCCTTGGGTTGGACGCCAGCCCAGGTCCTATGATGGCTGAGCTGGATGGGGCCTAGAGGGGGAAGTTTCCATCTCACAGAAGCCTGACCTGAGTTGCTCTAGGGTCAGGCACCTTGCAGAGATGCTCTTTGCCCTAGAAAACTGCAGGAACCTATTTTGGGGTCTTTGATCGTGGTTGTCCTGCTTTAACAGCCCTTCCACAGCCCAGCACACTCACCTTCGTTCCCTCTGCCTAATGAGGAGGGGGCTGGTGGCACCTTGGACCCCACAGGCTGGGCAGAACAGAACATCCTGCTACCAGAGCAGGTGCTGTGGCAAATGAAATGGTACCCCTGACTTCCCAGCCAGTCCTGAGTGTTTCCTCAGCATCCCTCAAGCAGGCAGCAGGAGGGACACCTGGTGCTGCTGGGATGCTG